AGCAGGAGAAGACGATGAGGAGGAGGAAGATGAGGTGAAGGGGAGCAGGAGGAAAGGAGAGAAGAAGAGGATTGAGGAGTGAGGAGGGGCAGCAGGAGGGGAGGAGGAGTTTGAGGAGGGGTAGCAGAAGGAGAAGAGGATGGGGGTAGTTGGAAGAGGAGGAGGTGAGTAGTAGTAGTAGTAGTAGTAGTAGTAGTAGTAGTAGTAGTAGTAGTAGTAGTAGTAGTAGTAGTAGTAGTAGTCGTAGTCACTCGTAGTCGTAGTCGTAGTCGTAGTGGTAGTAGTAGTAGCAGCAGTAGCAGTAGCAGTAGCAGTAGCAGTAGCAGTAGCAGTAGCAGTAACAGTAGCAGTAACAGTAGCAGTAGTAGCAGTAGTAGTAGTAGTAGTAGTAATAGTAGTAGTAGTAGTAGTAGTAGTAGTAGTAGTAACAGTAGTGCAGTCGCAGTAGTAGTAGTAGTAGTAGTAGTAGTAGTAGTAGTAGTAGTAGTAGTAGTAGTAGTAGTAGTAGTAGTAGTAGTAGTAGTAGTAGTAGTAGTAGTAGTAGTAGTAGTAGTAGTAGTAGTAGTAGTAGTAGTAGTAGTAGTAGTAGTAGTAGTAGTAGTAGTAGTAGTAGTAGTAGTAGTAGTAGTAGTAGTAGTAGTAGTAGTAGTAGTAGTAGTAGTAGTAGTAGTAGTACAGTCGTAGTAGTCGTAGTAGTAGTAGTAGTAGTAGTAGTAGTAGTAGTAGTAGTAGTAGTAGTAGTAGTAGTAGTAGAAGCAGGAAGGAGGATCTGGGAAGCAGTTTCGGGCTGCTTCCCAAGAAGTTGCTTCGCGAAACCATCAGACATGGAAATACACAATACTACGCTCAATTCTTTACGCTTCGCGTATCCCCACCAGCCCATCTCACAGCAGCAACTCTTGCGAAGCATGCCGACAGTCGTGTTTTTCAGGCGTGTGTCCGCTTGGCCCCGCATATCTCCCCTGTTCCTCCTTCCTCCCGCCTCCTTGTACATCCTCCTTGTGGGGGGAGCGGGAGAAGGACGAGGCGGAGGAGGAGGGAGAGAAAGCGCTCCTCGTGATTTGAGTCGTTTGGGGTTTCTCGTCCTGGTGTGAGTCGTTCGGGCCCTTCTTCCTGGTGTGAGTCGTTCGGGCTCTTCGTGGTGTGAGTCGTTCGGGCTCTTCGTCCTGGTGTGAGTCGTTCGGGCTTCTCGTGGTGTGAGTTGTTCGGGCCCCTCGTCCTGGTGTGAGTCGTTCGGGCCCCTCCTCCTGGTGTGACTCGTTCGGGCTCCTCGTGGTGTGAGTCGTTCGGGGCCCTCGTCGTGGTGTGAGTCGTTCGGGCTCCTCGTGGTGTGAGTCGTTCGGGCGCCTCGTCCTGGTGTGAGTCGTTCGGGCCCCTCCTTCTGGTGTGAGTCGTTCGGGCTCTTCGTGGTGTGAGTCGTTCGGGCCCCTCGTCCTGGTGTGAGTCGTTCGGGTTCCTCGTGGCGTGAGGCGTTCGGGCACCTCGTCCCGTCTTGGGGGCCTCTTGGCGGCCCCAGGGGCTTCTAGGAGCGTCTTGAGTGCCTCGGGGGAGCCTCTTCGGGCCTCTTGGGAGCCTCTTGGAGGCCGTTTGGGGCGTCTTGGGGGCTTCTTGGCGGCCCCAGGGGCTTCCAGGGGCGTCTTGGGTGCATCGGGGGAGCCTCTTGGGGCCTCTTGGGGGCCTCTTGGGGGCATCTTGGGGGCCTCTTGGAGGCCGCTTGGGGGCCTCCTGGGGGCCTCTTGGGGCCATCTTGGGGCCTCTTGGTGCCTCCTGGGCGCTTCTCGGGGCCATATTGGAGGAGATCGATCAAAGAAGAGGGGAGCTTTAATGAGCGCTGCCCCCTCAGAAGGCCAACATGGGGCCAAAACCTTCGTAAAATCAATGATTTTGGCTTGAAAGAAGAGGGGGGCTTTAATTAGCGCTGCCCCCTCAGAAGGCCAAAATGGGGCCAACACCGTCGTCAAATCAATGATTTTGGCTTCAAAGAAGAGGAGAGGGTTTTTTCTCCCTCCCCCCGTCGGGGCCAGAATCCTCGTGAGGGGTGTCGTTTTTTAGCCCTCCCAGGAGTCGAAATTGACCCCCCTGACGACCCGCGAGGCGCCCTCTCCAGGCCCAGGGGGAGGGGGTAGGGGGAGGGGTAAACCCCTCCCCGGAGGGGAAGAAGGGGGGTTGAGAACAGAGAGAGCTCTCTAAATCACTCACGCCCAAAGGGCTGGTGGGACTCTGCTCCTCAACACCCTGTCTCTCGCTCTTTCTCATCCTTGCTCATCACTCCTCAGCCGTCGCCATCTCCTCATCCTCCTCGTCCTTCTCCGCCTCCTCCTCATCTTCCTCCTCCTCCTTCTTGCGTTGGGCGAACTTGGGCAATGAAGTTGAAGCGTGTGCTCTCCCCCTCTTCATCCCTCCATCCCTCCTTCTCTCCCCTCCTTTCTTCAGGCTCTTCGTTTGCACATGGTCCTATTCATTTCCCCATCATCGTCAACGTCCCCCAACCGCGCCTTGGCTCCCTACCCCCCACCCTGGCCGTTTCTATTCTTCCTGTTTTCTCCCTCCGCTTCTCCCCCAGGCGCTCGATCGCTCGCGTTCCTCAGGGGGTGCCTATGTGAACCGCCTTCCAACGTCACTTTTTCCTGACTGCGCTGAGTCTCGACCTGGTGTGACGTCGTCCGTGATCCTTGCAGCACGTTCGGTTGCACCGTGTGTGTTCCCCGTCCCTTGTGCGTCGTTGGTCGGTTTTGCTTCTGTCGTTCAGAGAAGGGCCTCACGCGTGAAGCAGCTGTTGACCATCCTTCAGTGTAAGTGCGCGCGTTGCGAGGTCCAGCTAGGTGAGCTGGCCAGGCGCGTCCAAGGCGTGAATGACTATCGGGGCAGGAGGTACCCAGACTTACACATGAACACGCGTCGCACTGTCGCACTGATCCAACTCGTGCTCGCCGCGGTCCCGTCATGTTTGTTCCTTGCCTCCTCTCATTCCCCCTTCAGGTTCTCTTGCTGCGCCGGGTCGCCCCTCCTCTGCCTCACGAGTCGTCCATGTAGTGATTAGCTACCTGCTCAGGTTTGATGCCAGCGCGTGTACCCCCCACAGTGACGACGCGCAGCCTGTAGAGGGCTACTTGCGTGGTGTAGCGCATGGGAGCGCAGTATGTTGGATGCAACCCGTGAAGTGCAATCTCGCGAGTGCAATACATGCAGCGCAATCGATAGGATGCAGCACATGGCGTGTGACTTACTGGCCGAAACCTACGGGGTGCATCGTTTTAGGCGCACTGTGTGGTGCAACCTTGAGGGTGCAACATCTGGGGCGCGACGGGCATGGTGAAACCACTGAGATGCTTTCTATGTGGTGCAACGTGCGAGGCACAGTCTATTGAATGAACCCTGTGGGGTGCACAACCCATTGGGGGGTACAACTTGCTGGACCACGCCATGCCGACCCAAGCCCGCGAGAGCTGCCTGCCACGGCACGCAGGGCCGACGGAGCATTCCGACCTGGGTCGTACGGGCCCAAGCCCGCGAACGGTTGACCAAGGCGTGCATCTCCAGCAGAGCCGCGCCGATCCAAGCCATACCGACCCGAGCGCCCGAACGGCCTACCACAGCACAGAGGGCCAATCCCTTCGAACAACATGTTGAGATGTCTTGGCGATGGCGATGCACACGCCAGTCGTCATAATGATGGTCATTTGCATGGTACTGTAATCTGGCAGCGATGTAGCGGAGCTGAGGTTTTGATTGCGTCCGATATAGTGGTAACGAGCATGATCACGACAACGGGAACGAAGATGGCCGTGAAATTCAGGTTCTTTCAAAGAGGCCAGTAATGCGAGTAAGTATTGTGATGGTGTGTGCTGGTGTATGCTTCGTGGTGTTGTTTATTGCGATGAGTCGCACATTGACATTACTTCTCTGCAGAACAATTGGACTTGCGAGGTGAAGTTGTTTCATTATTCGTGGTCTCTCAGGGGTATCCTTGGAGTGATTCCGCTGCCACCTCAAGCCATCGCTAAACTGTTGTAGAGTTTGTTTGAGGCATCCTGGAGGCCAACTTCGGCCATCGACCTGAGCGGCCGCCTTGGGTTATCTGGGACAATCTTGGGGCCGCCTGGGGCAATCTCGGACCTTCTAACTACTCGCAGCTCTCCCCCCACGTCCATACCCCAGTTACCTACGCCCAGCGGGCTGCTGGGATACACTGTTCCGTCCCGTGCTCTGTAGCCCCTGCCTTCCGAACCGGCCAAGGTGAGGTCACGCACGCCGCTCTGCAGCTGCCGCGCTTCGCTCTTTTTGTTCTGCCCGTCGCCGACGCCGAGGGCCCCAGGCCCGGGCTTCCTCTCTTCGCAGGCTCCGTGGCTGCGGTGGCCGTCGCCCGCGCTGGTGCGATCGAAATGCGGGCGCACGGGAAGAAGTGGTTGCCCTTGGAGGTGGTTCTAGGGGGAGAGATCTGAGGCGTTCCAGAAAGGGCCTCGTCTTCGAGGATCGAAGGAGCTGCCATCTGTTCCTCGGCGGAAGGCGGCGGAAGGGCGGCGGAAGTAGAGCGAAGCCGCCTCTGCCGGCGGAAGTTGGCGGAAAGTTGGCGGAAGGCGGCTGAAGTAAAAGATGCGCCCCCAAGAGATGGAAACGTTTTTGGGTTCAGGGTTTCTGGAGTCCGCCATATGGTAAATGATGCGGCTCAATCGGTGTACTGCCAAAACGAGTCGTTACCACGTGACGATCGTCGAGGCACCATAGTCGAGGCACCATGCTTCGAAGGGGTACCAAGACCGACAGGCTCGCTGTTGGCGTCGCCGCGGACGCTGTCCACTTGAGACAAGCAACAGGCCGCCTGCCCAACAGCGGCCGCTGCCGGTTTTGGAACATGTCCGCTGTTGGGCTGGGCACCGTATATTTTTCCGTACACATTTCGAGCGAGCGAGCTTTTTGTGCGCATTTTTCGTCCATGCTTCGACGGTGATCTCTGGTTGCCCAAGCGGGAAGCGAGCAAAAGAGTGGCGGAGAGCTGGGAGGCGTGATGTTGTGGGGGGTGGGCGCGGAAATTGCGCTCTGCAACCCGGTGATGCTGCTGATCGTCGGCTTCGTGCTCTGGGCCTCCTTGCTCTATGTCGCGCTGGAGGAGGAGCAGGATCCCCCCCGCGTTTCGTAGCCCTCGGCGGCGCCATCGGCGTCACCGCGCGATCGCCGTCGACTTCGTGGCCCCGGGCCGCCCTTGCTTCTGGGGAACTTGGGCGGGGCGCCTGCCTGGCTCGCGTGAGTGGAGGAAGGTGTGCACGGCGGGGGCCGAGGGACCCAAATCGCGAAATGCGCCTTCGCCTGCAGAAGACGCCGAGCAGCTCATGGATCATGGATCATAACATGAAACAGCGTGACTACATGGAATACGGTTGAACCGTTTTTGAATCCAGAAACGGCAATGGTCTACCAATTAGGCGACCGCGCGCCGTCCGGAACAAACGCTTAAGGTTTCTGTGGGGATCGCTCGAAGCCCTGGGTCGTTTTTTGACCGTCCTGCGGCCAGGCAAGCGCCGTATAGGATCCACTGTCGATATGTCAGCAATGTAGTGCCGATCCAGGCTTAGTGTTTTCTCCCCTGAGCTGGTCCAGGCCCTATCGTTCGCCCCCGGACGTGGGGAGATGAAGCCTGGTACAGGAGCAATGCTGCTGCGCCCGCCTTCTGCTCCTACTTCACCTGCCCTGTGCTCCTTTTGAAGGAAAGTTCGAATGCCCACGCTGGCACGAGTCATGTGTTTGGTTTGTGACTGGGACGGCCGCGCCCCTCCGCTCTTTCAAAACAACATTACTCTGCGACGGACCCAACACATCTGCATTAAGTCACATGGGGAGCTGGTCCAGAATAGTGTGGCTGATAACTACAGGGTCTGCCATTGGTGGTGCAAGCTATCTGGGAAGCGCGCGTGTTGCATGACTCACAGGACAGCAGCAGCAGGACGAGGACCAAGGCCCAAGGCTCCAAGAGGAAATCGGTGTGGGAACCGGGGGCAGGTAAAGAACGGGAGAGGGGACGAACAGCTAATGCGTCAGCAGCAGCGAGACGGTGGAAGGAGGAAGGGGGCGACAACGAAAGAGGCAGGATGAGGAAGGCGTGTGGCGATCATGTGCCAGTGACACGTTCGACAAGCAGCGCGGCCCACGCCATGCCGCTCTGGCGCTTGACAGGATCAGTTGCCCATAGCTAGTATGAGATGCAGAAATGAGCGAGGCCGAGCTCGCCCAGCAGGTTCTCCGCTTATTTCCTGCACCGTGCAATGCTGATCTGAACCCGCGCAGGACGTCACCATCCTGGGCCCCGCAGCAGCCCTCGAAAGTGGCGACGGTTTCGCAGTTCGCAGTCACCCCAGGGATCGGGATGTCTAAGTGTGCATCAGCGTATGACGTCATTCCGCTGGACCCCCCAGCACCCCCAGTTCGCAGCCCCCGCCTCCCAGGGATGGCGAGGTCCAATCTCAATCTGCGTGCGACGTCACTCCGCTGGACCCCCCCGCAGCGCTCGAAAGCGGCGACCGTTCCGCAGTTCGCACCCCCGCAGGGGTGTGGAGATTTGATATGGGCCTGCGACGGGGCGCCACCATGTTGGACCTTCCGTGAATCTTCGAAGACGGCGACAATTTCGTAATTCGCAGCCCCCAGGGATGGCGAGGTCGGCTCTTGTCCGCGACGGATTGCCTCCGGCCGGGACCCCCCGCAGCAGCCTTCGACAGTCGTGACCTTTACGCAGTTCGCAGCCTCCCCAGGGATGACGAGGTCTAGTCTGGGTTTGCTGCGGGGCGTCCTTCCGCTGGACCACCCAGTAGCCTTCGAAAGTTGCGATCGTGTCGCGGTTCCCCCCCGCCCAGGGATGGCGAGGTCTATTTGGGCTCTGCGGCGGGGCGCTACCCCGCTGGACACCCCAACAGCCTTCAAAGGTGGCGACCGCTTCGCAGTCCGCAGCCCCCCAGGGATGGCGACATCTACTCCGATCCGCGGCAGGGCGTCACCCCGCTTCCCCCCCCCCGCCCCCGCAGCCCTCGAAAGAGGCGACACGTTTGCAGTTCACAGCTCCTCAGGGATGGCGAGGTCGAGTCTGGGTTTGCGGCGGGGCGCCACTCCGCTGGACACCCCAGCAGCCTTCGGAGCTGGCGACCGTCTCGCAGTTCGCACCCCCCCCAGGGATGGCGAAGTCTGCTCTGATCCGTGGCGGGGCGTCATTCCGCTGGACCCCCAGCAATATTCGAAAGCTTCGACAAGTTCGCAGTTCGCAGACCCCAGGGACGGCGAGGTAGATTCTGATCCGCGGTGGGGCGTCACTGCGCTGGACCCTCCCCCTGGCAGCCCCCGAAAGTGGCAACCGTTTCGCATATCGCTCCAGGGATGGCGAGGTCTACTCTGATCCGCGGCGGAGCGTCACTCCGCTGGAAACCCCAGCAGTCCTCGAACGGGGCGACCGTTTCGCGCTTCAGAGCCCCCCCCTCAGGGATGGCGAGGTTTGCTCCGAGCCCGCGTAAACCGTCTCCCCGCTGGTCCCCCCCCAGCAGCTCTCAGAAAAAATAGTGGCATGTTCGCAATCCGCAGCCCC